TGGGCTGCATAGTGATAGGGGGCGGCCTACTTATAGGTGGCCTTAACTTTTACAAGAAATATATTCCCCGTCAGGTAGAGGCCAGGGATGATGTCTGTGAGGAGGTGGGGGGCAGTAAAATAGAGATTTTATTGAAACGCATGCACACGACGATTGTAGTCGAGATAATGCCCTCAAAGGCCATATTCTTTGTAATTATTTTGATGTCACTTATGATAGCATTCATAACAGCCCTGCAGTGGAATTGGGGTCAATATTGGGTGTCATTTGCATCCTTTTCCGGTCTTAAGATGAATACAGTTTTGTCTAATAATATACTGACTGCAATGCAGGGCGGTTTTACCCTAAGCCGGGTCATTTGTATTTGTATTTCCCGTTTTATAAGTCCAATACTTTACATATACGTTAGTTTGAGCCTGATGGTAATAGCGCAGATATTGTTAGTGATATTTGCAAACACCTCGCTTACAATGATGTGGGTGGCAAATGTGATATTAGGATTGGGTCTGGGACCAATATTTGCTGCTATATATCAGTTGCTGGAGTCAATTACCCCGGTCACAAATATAATGGGATCAATGTTTATATTTCTAATTGGTTCGCTGCAAGTCATATTCACCGTTATATTGGGTCTCTACATCGAAATGCAACCAATGATTTTAATTTATATAGATTTTCTATGTCTTATTATCTCGATCATTTTGTTTTTTATCATACACTTCATAATTGTTGTATTTATTAACAATGACAAAAGAGTGGCAAATATATCAGGGTTTGATAATATGAATTATACTGATGAAAGTAGCAGGAAATATTAACTTTTATTAAATTTTGTTAAATATTATAATTTTAAATTAAATGTTTATTTTATATAATCAAAGTAAAATTAAATGAATTTTTTAAAACTATGTTCTAGCTCAACAAATTTACATTTTGAAAAAATAAAACAAGTACATTTTATGAAATATGTACTAAATATTATTATGCAATATAAATTGGTTGAGGGTAAACGTACTAATTATACAGTATTTGTGTTAGTACACCAAAACCTATTGGTGTCTAAATGTCTATTGATTTGAATTACCAATTACAAATTATCATTTTTGGCAAAAATACATTTATTGTTATTTATATTATGATTTATGGTTATAAATTGTAATAATATTAGACATTTAATTAATCTTTGATTTGTTTACCGACCATGAATTGTTAAAATAATTAATTCATTCATATATTCTTATATTGAATTATAATAATAATTGTTAATTTAATTCAGAAATTTATGAATAAATTTTGCACTAAACTTACAATCTTTCACTCTTACAGTTATAAATAAATTATTATAATAATTACAAAAATATTTTTATATTAAATACCAATGTAAACTATTTCTATTCACTATATTTTATTTATTAAATAAACCGTCCATTCATTCAAACTCATACTGAGTGAGTGAGTGAGAGAGAGAGAGAGAGAGGGAGAGAGAGAGGGAGAGAGAGAGAAAGAGAGAGATTTAAAATAATTAATAATTAATAGCATAAAACAAATGGCATTATATATTTAAAAAGCGTAAAAATTATGTGATTGTTATGTTAGCCTTTAAATCAATTGTGTTTTATACGAATCATTAAATGAATAGACATTTATTACTAACTGAATCTATAAATATTAAATTGTTTGTCATAAATAATATACAGTTATAGTGAATGTCAAACAAATTAATCGTTTGAGCTCTTTATAAATAAAATGTAAATTTTATTTTCATTACATAATTATAAGTACTTATTGATATTTGTTTTTAATTCTGTGTAAACATTTCTGTGTAAACATCTATAAAAAATCACAGAATTTATTTTTTAAAAGTTTGTTTATAATAACATTTTTATGTCACTTATAGTAAAAAATATATTAATAATAAAATTACTATTTGTGCTGAAAATATGTCGAAAAAATATAAACTTTTCCTAACCTTTGTGATCTATTTTTGTTATTTATTTTATGTAAGTATTCCTAAACTTTTATTTATTTTTATTTAAAAATGAATTTTATAAACCATTTATTTGCGGAAATATTTTGTCTCGTGAAATATTTCCCATAAATATGTGCAGACAATCCAGAACTTCATCACCGGTACAGCACTTCTGGACCTGCAAATGATATATAAGGCAACGTTTACACAGATATCTTATATGAACACTGTATGGACGGCCACATACTCTATCGGAGCCATGAGTACATACACACACCTCTCTCTCTCTCTCTCTCTCTCTATCTCTCTCTCACTCACTCACTCACTCACTCACTCACTAATAGATGAATAATTAAAATAATGAAAAAACAACTCGTTATTACCACAATATAAAACTTTTAAAAATAATTTTTATAATTATATCTATCAGTATTTAACAACTTTCAAGATTTGCTTGGTACTTTTAGGTGGCCCGCTATTTAACATGATGAACAAGCAATGGGCATACATGGTATCTATGTTTATAATAGGCATAACCACAGCCATAACCCCACACTTAGTTCACGTGGAGTTCCTGATACTAAACCTGGGCATCAACGGCATTGGGTGCGGCAGTATAGACGCCGTGAGCAGCGTATGGATAGTGGAGATGTGGGCTGAAAATTGCGGTCCTTATGCGCAGGGATTACAGTTCGTGTTGGGTATCGGCGCTCTGGTCAGCCCACAAATGATTAACCCTTTCCTTTCGCAACCATTCACTAAATACATTGATGTGAATAACATTAATAAAGCTGTCAATGAGACGGGAACTTATGGACTATCGACTAACGTATCCCTGACTTCTGTGGCCAACACTACAGTCATGGAAATACAAGGACAGACACCATCAATGATTACAATCCCGTACCTATTTATAGGGAGCATAGCTGTGGGCGGTGGTATATTCATAGGGGGACTAAACTTTTACAAAAAGTATGTCCCCCGCAAAATAGAGTCCCAGAATACCAGTGCCAATAAGGATAATGGCAGTAAAATATCCAGGATGTTTTATGAGATAAACGACACGTTTATAACTGAGATGAGACCTACTAATGGTATACTACTATTAATCGTGTTATTGGCCAATATGATAGCATTTGTCACGTGTATACAATGGACCTGGAGCCTATACTGGACCTCATTCGCTCAGTTCATCGCTCTCGACATAAACCCTGTGGTATCCAATGACATACTGACCCTCATGTTAGGCATGTTTACACTAAGCCGAGGTGTTTGTATAGTTACCGCCCGATACATAAGCCCTATACTACTCATATACGTCAGCCTATTATTGCTACTGATATCGCAAATACTATTATTTATTTTTGCCAACACCTCCCTGACCCTCATGTGGGTCGTCAATGTAATAGTAGGCCTGGGGTTGGGACCCATATTTGCTGCGATATATCAGATGTTGGAGTCAATTACCCCGGTCACTAACCTGATGGGGGCATTCTTCATATTCCTCATCGGTTTGTTTATGACTGTATTCAACGTAGTCCTCGGGATATATATCGAGAGCCAGCCCATGATTTACGTGTATATTACCCTGGGGTGTGTTATAATATCAATTATCCTGTTCATTTTCATACACCTGTTGATTGCAACGCATATTAACAATGAGAAAAAGGATCTTGGTATAGACAATGATGGCAATACTAATAGTGCTGATAATAGTACACAGGGTTCTGTAGATTATACGACGGGTAGTACTGAAGCGTTAACTTATCGATAAAGTTTTATTATTTATAAAATCAAATTTTATTTAAAATTATAAGTCAACAAGGATCATTTTTGTGATCAAACTTATGGAATAATAATTGGCATTATAATAAAACTTTCTAATATAATACATGTTTTAAAAATAAACGTTTTAATATAATTTATTTAAAATGGTAAAAGAATTATTTAAAAATTTGTAAAAACTACACAAAAAATCTTCACCAAGAGTTCAATACTAGAAATAAATTTCAAAGAGTTTACTAAACGACAGGGAAGTCATAAAAACAAGACATGAGAGGAGCTACACCTCAAGGTAACGATGGACAGGCGGGTGAGAAGTGGAAGCAAATGCAGATTCAACACCAGCAACAGGGGTTTCGGTACAACCAACCGCCCCCACCTCCCGGACAGCCCCAACGGGCAGCCCCACCACCGCCACCCAGACCGCCCACAATTACTATACGGCCCCAAATCCACGCAGAGCCACCCCCTCGCATGCAATACCCTCCGCCCATAAGACCCCCTCCCAGTCGGTCCGTAAGACCCCCTCTCAGTCGGCTCACACGACCTCTACATTCTACCTGTGCCGGCCTACCGGTGCTCGAATCTAGTGGTGTCTTCTGGGGAATACATTTAAGAAAAATCCATAGTTGAGGTTTAAAAAACTTTTTGATATCATTATAGGTTGCTGAATAAAATCTACCTGACAAAAATTATGAAAACCC